AGCAGGCTCTGGTTTGGCAGACGTGACGTGAGCAGGCCCTGGGGTAGCAGACATGATGTTAGCAGACTCTGGCTTGGCAGACATGATGTGATCAGGCTTTGACTTGGTAGATATGACATGAGTAAACTTTACCTTAACTGGCATGATGTGAGCAGACTTTTGGGAAGTGTCATGTTCCTTCTCCATGACACCCACAGTGAAAGCAGATCCACTCAACTGCAGAGCAAAGTCTATATACTGCTCTAGTGACCAGTGTGGGGTATTATGTGGCATTAAACGTGAAATGCTTTTGTCCAAACCAAAACGGAAAATGTCTTTCAGGAATGTTTCATTAAAATCCACTTGGTGACAGAGTCCACAAAAGTCTTGAACATAATCCTCTATGGAGCGATTACCTTGACGGAGGCGAAAAAGATGATCTGCTGGGTTCATGGTGGTGGTCGTGTATTCTGTAACGATTTAGTCCACTGAAGACGAGCGTAGTGACGAACCCAAATGCAGTTTATTTACAGGTGATCCAAACATCCAAACAATAATCCAAACAGACGAAGCTGGGTTTGTCAATATTCAACCCACCATTTTTTAGAGTGTAGTTTTTAAAATTGGTATGTTTTGTCAGGCTGCGAAGAAAAATACAGTGAAAAACAGTGAATAAACAGTGAAAGCTAACACCATTTTTCCTTTCCTAATAATATCTCCCAAGGGTAACATGAAAAGCGTGAAAAGTAACGGTCCTAGTACTGAGCCTTGAGGTATGAATTATACAATCCTATAATATTATCATACAATATTATGTATGAATTGTATTTACTTGCACACCAACACATCATTTTACTTGTTTCCCCCCTGATACAAATGCATAAAAGATGTTTCCCAGGTTGCAATGCAAATGCAGGTGTGTTTATGCATTAAACTCACGGCCACGAGAAAAGGATATTTTTCTCTCTACATTAGAAGTTGTGGCCACAAAAAAAAAAAAAAAAGATGTTAATAACTTTGGTGTTAATTTGATTAATCTGATGTTAACAAATTAATGTTGTGGCCACAGCAAAACTAAGTGAACCGAACATGTCCTCTAGCATAGACTAAAATATCAATCTTGGGGTTTAAAAATCAATATTGATTTGTTAAAATTAAGATATTAAGCAAGCAAAAAAAGTTCCACACATGCAGTGGTTAAACATTTTGATAACAGTAGATATGTGATTGCGTTTTGCATCATAACTGTCACAGTATGTTGTATAATTCTGCTGTTGTAGATCTCTTTTTCATATGATGGCAACTTTGACTAAACTACATTTTCAGTGTTTGTTGGTTTGTTTGTTTAAATTAATGAAACTAAACTCTTCTAGGTTTTTTTTTTATATAATGACAATATACTAAAATATATTTTCAGTTTGTGTGTGTTCATTTATTTATGTAAAGTGATGAAGCTAAATATAATTAATTGCTGTAGTTGCTTTACACTAATTAAATTCTGACAACACAAATTGTTGTTAAAAAAAATGAGGGTTAACATAAATGTTGAGGCAATAAGATTGTTGACTGATAGTTGATTGTTGTTTTCATGTAAGTCTCCCCTCCTCTCCTTAAACATGACATTTTCTCCTTTCTACTGAGAAAAAAAACCCTTGATAATTCCATGTCTCCTCTAGAGTTAATGAAGAAATCTCAACAATTTCTCAGTCAATCATATGAACTCAAACATTTCAAACATTAAATGTGC